CGTTGAGAGATCCTCAGCGAACGCTGTATGGGCGGAGACGCAGACGGCTCGAGCATGCGAGTGTGAATGTTCGCGCGAGAGAACGTGTCTAATCGGGCGAAACTGCGCAACGTGGCCGTTGAAAACTGCGCAACGCAGGGTTGACTCTGATTGCTGGTGCCATTAGTCACCACTTCGATACAGGTGAAATATGATTTTCGCAATCTACAGCAAAACGGAGAGACACAGTGCAGCAAGGATTAGAGTGCGCAAACACACGACTGATAAGGCAGCTTAGAGGACAAGGCATCAGCGCCGTTACCTCTCTTTTTGAATCGCAACAGTGTCGCGTCTGCTGCTCATGGAAACTCTTTCTCACACTAGCAGGAACCGCTTCTTGAGACGAGATGCGAATGAGACGCGCTTCCATACTATAGCTCAAGACATGGACAGTACAGTATCTCTCACTTACTAAGCGTTAGAAAAAAGAAGCGTGCGCTGTGTAGACGGATTTTTTACCCTTCGAGCCACTTTTTCTCCTTGAGAAAGGCGATCGAGTCCAAACGTTGGGCATTTGAGAAAGTTGTCGCATAAAACACTTGTTGGCAGACACATCAACTTTAACATCTTCCTGAAAAGAGCGGAGTGCGAAATCGCACGGGCTCGATCTCATGACCTCGTTCCTACGATTTAGGGTTGCTGCGCTTTCCTGCTTCATAACTTCTTTCAGGAAATCGTTCCGCACATAATGAAAGCAGATTCGAACTCAGCGTCTCAAGGCCCATGAGATTTAATAGATATACGTCTCGTTTTGATTGGCCGGACTGATCAATCGACCATTCTTGTAAGATTATCGGGACCCTTTGAATTTAGTTCAAACAATCTTACTTCCTCTGCAAGGGCGACTTCATCGACACTCGGTTTGTTCTTCGAGCATGTGGTTTCTCCACCGTCAGATATTAGAATGACGAGTTTATAGCTTGTCGTCTCTTTCTGAATACACGGCAAATCATCTGCTGCGCTCAATTATTGACGAGTTCTATACAGCATTTAGCATAATGGCGAATTCTTTCACACACTCCATGTTTTTTTGGCTTCTTTGAATACGACTTTTGAAATTCTCATTGGTTCAAATCTATTACTCGAATGGGGAAGGCAAACCCTTCTGCGTATTTGGTGGGCCAAATTCCGTTTCCGCTTTGGATTAATAGGTATCGTGCAGAAAGAATGCATCTGCTGTACCTCGCCATTATGTTACTCAAAGCGACATCCAAAGATCAAAGTTGTGGTGTTACAGCGGTCGATAATGAAATTGTGGGTGGCGATATGCAAAGAAAGCTGTCAGTGAAGCCCTAAGCATGCATACCCTTTCGAAATGAAGGGGCGGGGCCAGACGAGTTGTACGAAGCTGTGTGCTCCACAGCTCAACTAACTCGCATGTATTTGAACTAGCCGCTGCGCCATAATCCACGTTGCGTTTCATGAGGTGTGCAAACGTTAAGGTTGCTTGCCACGGGTACATTTTGTGGGACCCTAGCGCCATTATTGCGCACTTGCGAGCCGCAAAAACGGCACATCTGTGGTACTCGTGGTCTACTCTATCCCACCCACTGAATAGATTTTTCGACAAGACTTCGACTGAGGGTGTTGCTTTAAATGTTCACCAAGGTAATCTGTTAGGCTGCGGTCGTAATTCGCCACGATCACAAACGCCGCCTTTCAACAGAGCCGTGAGTACGAAAAGCCTCAATTGTCTAGACTAGAATCAATCTATTAACCCTTTGACGACAATGCGGATTTGCACGTAGCTTGCTCATGGGACCACGCCTCTTTTTGGCGCGCCCAACTCTCGCTCACAATTGGGCAAAATTGTCCCTCAAAGCAGTTTTCTATAGAATTTTGACTTTGACAGTATACCAGTATAACTGCAGTTCTAGGCTTTCATACTGTTTATGTTTTCAAGAGAATTCCAAATTTGGACGGGGAACTCGCGTTTCTGAGGGAAGGAGAGAGGGGAAGTGTTCAAGGGCATTTCCGTTACACTTCAACCACTACCCCATATCCGAGGGCTACGAGAATACGAAGAAGTCCTAATTAGTGATTAATCTTCTGCCTAATAATGCAAAACCCGAATCAATATGCTGGCGAGCTAAATGGCACGTTCTGAAGTTCTATATTTCTGTAAGCCGTGCTAGTAATAGATACTGTGGAATTTGCTATTGGGTTTTACAAATGTTTCGAATGCACGAAGGAGATTTTAAGGTGGCACCTTGCTAAACCTACAACCTAACATCGGGTGCCATCATAGTCAAGGAGTCGATTAAACCTACCCCTCCCCCCCCACAATGAGTGTGACAAGAGGCGCCAATTGCCGTTGCAAATCTTTCGCTCGTAATTAGAACGCTGAATGAATGCCTACTCCCACTTGAAAATTTTTCGATTTACTTTATTGGAGCTGAGAATCGTTGACGGCCCACAACTCTCTGAGTGGTTGGCGATTTCGTGTGGAAATTGCGCTCCGGGATTGACTGAAAATCGCTCCAGGGATGCGGGTTTTTTTACGTGCGAGTCAAAGAGTTAGGCGATATCAAGGTCTACGATCAAATACTTACGAGAGAAGATCTTTTGGTAGGTAGAGAGCGTGCAGGGCTTTTTCTCATCTGACGGGTTGTCAGGTGGTGAAACTTTACGACTGAAAAACATACGTGACGTGTTACGTTCAGCTATGGATAACTCCGAGATTAACACGTTGGCGACCGTGCATGTTTTGCATTTTGCGGCCATGTGGGACTTGAGTGAGATTTTTAGGAAACTTATTAAGCGAGTTGGAGAGGAAAGCTTACTGTATGACGCAGAAGAAACCTTTTCGAATAAAATGGGGAAGGAAACGGAAGGAAAACTTGATATCTGTTCCCGCAATGTGGGCTGGAAATTCATACGTGGTCCACGGACATGCACGCCACTGAATGGGACTGTTAGGGGCTCCAGGTTTTAATGCAGGCCTCTTTGACAAACACAGCACGGAGTGTGCATCTTGAATCGTGAGAATGAAGGAACGTTGATCATTACCGTATTTGAAAACACTCTGTACGTTCCCATCGCCAGAAGGGTCTCGGAAGGGCAACCGATTGATACGACTCCGATTCTTGCCTCTTCCATATTTCCTGGCCATTTCCACCACATAGTCTATTTCCTAAAATGCGTGCAAATTATTTTTGTTCAGTGACGACATCATTTACATAGGGATCGCTGACTGTTTCTCTTTAAAAATGATGTATTTTGGAGGTACGAAAGTTTCTGCCTCTCTGCGACAAGGCCGACATACGGTGCGAGAACCTTCATAGGCGCTTTGTCCCGCTACGTTTCGCCTCTTTGAGAGCACGTGATTTTTTTATGAAATTTTTTCCCGGTTTTCAAAACTTCTTTGGAAGCGGATGGGATAACTCCGCCCATTCTGGCGTAGGCCCCACACATCGAAGGTATACACCCTCCTTCCGTTGTCAGGCTATACACACTTTTCCCGATATCCAGGACCACTTGTAACCGATTTATAAAAGTCTCGTGGGATAACTCTACACATTTTGGTGCTAATTTCTACCCACCAGCGGCTGTTTGCCTCTCCTTCATCGTTAGACTATTCACCTTTTTCCCTGTTTCAGGGGTCGGGTGCAGCAAGCCCCCAACGATGAGGATCCATCCCCACCCAGCTAGCGGATGAATCCCTCGCCCCTGTACCCAACCTCGAAATTATATCCCCAACTTCGGGGACATATCTCCTCACCCCAACTAGGGTATCCATTTTTCCCCTGTCTCAATTGCTTGCGGACCAAGGGTATGAGTTTAAGGGACAACTTCGAGCTGGTTTTGTGCTCGCCAGGTTCACACTAAATTTGTCCTCATCTCTTTAACTGATCTCTATGCAATTTTTCCCGCTCTCCTCGACTTCTGGGAACAGATTTATGGGGACTTGTAGGGAAGGCTGTCTACTTAAGTACACGCCCATTGTGGGCGGGCCTCTGCTCACGTGATAAATGCTGGGAACACCGTAGATGCTTCCCACACCAATTCTTTTTCTGCTCTGTGGGGTTCCTCACCACACCCGGTGTGGGTTGGGCTCCGCCTGGCTGATGTATGTTTTGCACTTCTGGAGACATAGCCTAACCATCCTTAACTCGATCGGACCCCGTAGACCATTGTTCACTTAGTATCGAATTTCGTGACAGACGGACAAATAGACACACACACAGAGACTTAGCGCATTAATAGTATGAATAGGCACCCACAATTCAGTGAAGATGTCATCATTTATGAACGTCGCCCTCTTCATTCTGCTCTTAACTCCTTAGACTACGACTTTTTTAGAATCGAGTTATAAATGTGTTCTGCGTTGCAATTATCCCTCCCAGCAACAGGCAACCAGCTGTAGAAATTTGGCTGATGTACGTTGGGTGTGACCTGGGATTTGATCTAGGGGACCATGCGCGCGGTAGCGGCCCGTCTTGTCATAACACCATTTCCGCTCGGATGATTTTTTTGTTCAATAAATTGGCAATTCTACAACCACACATTTTTTACAATATTAAAGTCTTCAATGACCCGAAAATTTTTACAAAAAAAAGTTTGAAAAGGTCAACATTATATGGTCTATGAATGGTACGGAGTAAAACATGATATACACAAGGGCACGTTGCAAGCAGCACACATTATTTTTGTACGAGTTTCTTTCTTTGACATCGCGCAGTATCTACATCGCCGACGCGTTTTTAACTGTAGTGGCATATGGTCCCCAACGTTGATGATCCTCCTGAAATTTTTTGGTGGCCTCCCCATGCCGGGCTTGCGCCTGTTAGCCGTCCTTTCCCTCCCCTGCGCAATCATTTGCTGAGCAAGAGGAACAAGGAATTTGATCAGCTTCGTTTTCTCGTGATGGATTTCCTGATATATTATCCATGCGTTTACAACCGCCACCTGTAGTATTTTATAGTACACCTTCCTCCACCATTTTCTGGAACGTCTATTGAAGTCGTAAAGTGCACGTTTTTGATCAAACAGATCTACTCCAAGCATGAAGAGTGTGCGAACCTTGAATTACCTTTTCCGGAGCTGAGCACAGTGACCAGTAACCTGCGCAGGTGTGCTTCACTACGGACAGAAACCGACATCGCGTTTCGCAGCGCGAAACATTTTCTGCCGCAGGAACCTCAGGCCCTCTGCTGATTACCAGTGGACTCAAGATTTCCGCAGCGACCAATGTTTTGTGCTGCAAACGCGAAAAAGTCGCTTTCTGTCCTAGTGAACCACACCCACCTGCGGTAGGACTTGCTCTATTAACCCTAGGATGGCTCGCTTTAGCTCCTGACAAATATTTGTCATAGTAGGAATTTGGAAGCTTCTGAATGTGCACAGTCCAGCCATCAAATGAGCCCTCCTGCCTCAATTTTCCCTGGAACTGTGGTAGTTTTTTTGGCTACGCAGATGGACAATGTGGTTCCACTACATGTAGTTCTAGGGTTAATGTGCGGGAGGACTGAAGTTATACGACGAGCGCAAGCTCATAGAAGATATGACACGACACGATAAGAAGATCCGGTTGCTTGGAACGAGGTGCGCTTCAAAATGACATCGGACGATATTGATAACGACATCATATCTAGTACGCTGCCACTGCAGCACCTTCCGCATTGATACGGAGGTCTTTTTGCTATCACGCCGTTGATGGGGCGGCACTGTCCCTGGAATACTACCTCCTGCTTCAGTGGGCAGGACCCCTACAAATCCGTACGTTCTACAGGGTGGTCCAAAATTATGAGGACCAAGACATTGTGTCGTTAAAAACGCATAGTAGCTTGATGGAACAAACCAACTTCTGGGAAGTATTTGTAACTCTTACCTCAAAGTAATTCCAGAATAGAATTGAGATCTGCCACTTCCCCGTTAACACGAGCCTTCGGATGAGGGGATGGCGCGTGCGGTGGCACGCAACTAAGGCGTGTCCAAATGTTTCCAGGCCTTCTGCTCTGCCTTCTTCAAGGAATCATCAAACTTTTGTGTTGCATTTATTTGCGCTTGCATCCAGGGTGTGAAATGCAGGAAATCTAGAGCTGTTAGGTGGATGGCTTCCATTGTAACAATTCTTCGAAAGCAACGAACTCGAAAAATCGCTTTTTGGAGGATTTTTGCTTTATTCTTGGGTGCTCGGTCCTGTAAGAAGTTCTAAGTAGACTACTCGTGTGGCTTTCTATCCACTACAGATGTGGAGTCTTTAGAGTGTCTGGCTGGGTTTTCACATCAATTTTTTCATTTTGGGTGTACGAAAGTCGACAAGGGGAGACCTAGTTTCTGCATCTGATAATTATCCTCGGTGGTAACTGTAACTTTCGAGTCCCGAATTTTCCATCTGTGGTGATTCCAACTTATTGAGGAGCGTGAACTGTTGCTCACAAGAGCTTCTCTGATAGGTTATACTGCTGCTAGATGTAACGTGCCTGGAGCCCCTCCGCAGGGTCAACCGTCACGTTCGAACATTTTCGGGATTTTGCGACCCCCCCCTCTGGAAGGGGTCCAGTTGCGACCCCCACCAATACACAGTTGCGACCCCCCAATACAACCAGCCATCCCCACCGCGACCTCTCCCTCTTCTATAGTATTTGATTCTGAGACCAGTTGACACAGCCCAAAACCTACCTAAAACTCCGAAACTCCGCCTACTTTTTCCCCAAAAATAGCCGTCGAGCGGGGGGGTATATACAACCACTGAAACGGCAACTTTTTTGCTTTTTTTCACACACACCTCTGCCCTGCCTGATGACCAAAGCGCCGCGCAATGCGACCCCTTTTTCGAACTGTTCTGAACGGGATGGTTGCCACAGCCCTAGTTTGTTCAATTTGAGGACTGACTCAAAGTGAAGTAGTTATTTTCACTAGTTTTGAGAACTTCATGAAATTTGGTTTCATTAGGAAGAAGACATTGTACCCTTTCACATAGTGCACAGAAAACGAGATGAAAATGGAGCGATACGGAAAAAAGTGGATATGACTGCGCGCGCACGCGGTCCTCATAATTTTGGACCACCCTGTACTTTGCCCTCCACATAGGATTGATCGTGAACTTTCAGTGTCGATTATGGAGCTTGCCCGAATCAAAATCAATCGAAAATTACTCGGATTCTTGTTTGCCGTGTTAACAAAGGGGTTCTAATGCATCGCGATGTTCCAAAAGGTGACCTTTATAACACCATTGATCTGGCTCTTGTTTTTTTTTATTAAACGTTTTGAAACATCGCGATTGCTGAAAAAATTGCACTACAGTCTTCACTATACAAGTGTACGTCCTCTTTTGCTTTTCGATAGTCACTGGTCCGTAAAGGGCGATGCAGCAAGTCATTCATAACTCCTACTCTGATCCCTTCGACAGCCAAATCCGAGATCGGTCACTACCCGAGAAACTCATTGCCAGTTGTCCTCGGAGCTGTGGCTCGACTCTCACGCGCTGCCTCTCAGAATGTAGTCAACAGCAGTACGGTGCTGCTCTGCAAGAATGGAGACCTGCGCGACGTTGGAACCTACCGCCTAAACTGCTCTGTTGTCTCTTGATAACCCAGCTGGGATCGGAGCTGGGATCGGTGGGGAATTACTACGGTTGTTCAGAGGTTACGAAACTCAAAAAATCCCACTTTGCAGGATTCCTGCTCAAAACTATGTGCCTTGTCCTGAAGCGTTCAAAGTAATGTATTTTGTTCATGAACCCCCGGATCAGAACAGTGTCCAAGTTGTCTTTGACATCAACTTTTTTCTTCAATTTGACGGTGTGAAAATGGCAGAGAGGAACGAGTCCCCTCATTTACTATTTGTTCTGGAGTGACTGTAACTTTTGAATGCCCTTCATTCCCGTCTTACATGGTTCGTAAAGCGAAAATCTCAGGACGAATTTGCGAGGTAAATACCGTTGATAATGTAGTTATAGGCGACAATTTGACCGATAGTGACGAAAAAACCAAAGAAAAACGCCGAACAGGGCTTTAAACAGGGACTCCCCTCTGCCGCTTAGCGATGAGGGAAGACGCGCGTTGGACGAGTTGTCTGAACTTGCCCGCACTAAATGCGCTCCAGTTGCATAACACTAACATAATTACATAACACTATACATAACATAACAACATTACAACAACAAAA